TCAGGCAGAGTGGAGGACGGGACAGCCTCAGGCAGAGTGGAGGACGGCACAGCCTCAGGCAGGGAGGAGGCTGGACTAACTTTAGTCAGGGTAGAGGCCAGGACCACCTCAGTTGGGAAGGAGGGGGACCTCTCAGGAGCCAGGAAGAGAGAATATGGGGAAGTCTCAGGAGAAAGGATCTCAGAGGGTACTGGGAGGGCCTGGGCATTCGAGGAGGCCTCCTGGGGAGACCAGGAGGAGGAAGTGGATGAGAATAGAGAGGCTGAGATGAGCTTTTCCCCCAAAGAGACCCAGGCCCTGGCAACTAAGGGCACAGAAGAAGCAACTAAGGACCAGACAGCAGCGGGGGAGGCTGCAGAAGGCCAGGGGTCAGAGGGGGAGGTAGGGGAGGGCTTTGAGATCCAAGCAGATCAGGGAGGTAAAGAGGCTGAGGGGAGGCAAGCCTCAGCGATCAGGACTGTTGCCGCCAGTCCGGAGGAGGTGGTGGAGGCAGAGACGGCCAAAGAGGAGGAAGAGGGTTGCTGGGCCTCAGAGGCTGAGTTGCCCAAGGACGACGTGGCAAATGAGGCTGAAGGGGATGCTGACCTGGAAGCAACCCTAGAGACCAGCAGTCCTGAGAAGGAGTTCAGCGGGGAGAGGAGTGAGGGGGAGGCTCAGACAGGCGGAGAAGCACAGGGGGTGGAGTGGGGTGGCCTTGAGCACGAAATCACTGAAGGCCAAGAACCTGAGCTGATGGCAGACCCCCAGACCCTGACAGAGCAGCCTGAGGACGGACAGGGGGGTGAGGAAGAGCTCTGGGGCGTTTCAGCTCTGAGCAAAGAGGAGACGGAAGGGAGCCTGGAGGAATACCCCAGGAACGTGGGAGATGTAAAGCCTGATGCCCCTGGGGCAGAAGTCTGGGAGAACCAGAGAAGGGATGTGGAGGGAGGGGATGCCCAGGAAGAAAAAGCAGATGCTGAAGAGGGGGAGGAGGAGGCTGCAGGAGGCCAGGCCCCGAAGGAGGCCGGGGGAGGCCGAGAGTCTGTGCTCCCGGATGTCCCAGAGGCAGGCGGGGAGTGGAAGAAAGCCCAGGACGCAGGGTGTGGGGCAGAGGAGGGAGACAGCCCTGGAGCAGAGAGCCAGGAGCTGGGTGGAAGGCATGGGGCAGACGCAGGGACAGGTCAGTCGCTGGGAGAGTCAGATGCCAGAGAAACCGAGGATGAGGAGGTGGAGGCCACCACAGTGCCCTGGGGGGCAGACACAACATCCAGCGGAAACTGGAGGCTGGAGGAGGCCGCTCTGAGCCTCCAGGACAGCGAGGACCCAGGGGTCAGTTCTTTGGCTTCTGAGATGGTGAGGGATAAGGTAGCTCTGGTTGGCAGGGCTGCTGGAGCTGGGGGAGGGCTCGAAAGAGAGGCTGGGGAAGCTGGGGACTCCAAAGGGAGGCAGGAGGCTGGGGGAGGCGGGGAGCTGGTAGAGGCTATACAGGGAGAAAACCGAGGTGGGCTGGAGTTTGGCCTGGCGGGCTCCGCAGACGAGGAGGTGGCTGGCAGAGGGGACCAAGCAGAGGCTTCGGAGGCCAGAGAGGGTGAGCCTGGGGGAGAGTGGGTGGAGGTCAGGGAGCCTGCGGTGGCAGAAGGAAGCTGTGGGATGGAAGGCTTTATCTCGGGCTCCCAGGTGGCGAAGGCAGAGGGGACCGTGGCCACGGTGGAGGCCGAGGGGCTCCCAGGAGGGCAGACGCTGTTGGAAGAGGAGGCTGTGGGATGGCAAATGAAGGAGCAGGGGCGGGGCAGTGAGGGGCAGTGTGGGGACCACCACCCCGACGGAGAGGCAGGAAGGCCCCTTGATGTGGAGGATGTTGCGGTGACTGAAGACCGGAGAGCACAGGCCGAGGAGATTGTTCCCGAAGGCCCGGAGGACGTCCAGGGCCCGGAGAACCAGTCAACACACCAGGACCCTGCAGAGGCCGAGCGTGGGTCACAGGGGGAGACGGCAGCAAGTGCTGGTCAGGGCGCTGGCGCCAGCTGGAGCGAGGTGAGAGCCCCAGCGGCGGTCCGGGGCTGGATAGAGCAGAATCTTGAATCCGGCCCCATGGTACTCTGTGCCCCTGCCCTGCAGGCCCTGCTCCCTGGGTCTCTCCTGGACGTCTCTGTCCCCCGGAGCCGTGTACTCCTGTCTCGCAACTCCTCGCTGCGCCGCTCCCGGCCCTCTTCCCGACGGACCGGCACCCCTGAGCAGCAGGAGGAGCCTCCCCGCCCGCCACCCGAGGAAGAGATGTCAGCTCCCGAGCAGAGACTTCTCCAGCCAGAGGAGCCCCCAGAGCCCAGCCCCCCGAAGCCTGAGGGGACCCCGCTGCCAGCCAGGAGAAGGCCGCTGGGACGTGGGTAAGCACAGGGTGAGGTGGCTGGGCTGGGCTGGCCTGGGGAGGAGGCTGCGCTTGCCTGGAGACCAGCTCCCCTGACCTGTCTCCGTCTGCAGGTTTGGCCTTGCACACACCGGCATGATGCAAGAACTGCAATCTCGGCTGGGCCTGCCAAAGCCGCAGGGAGGGCCCTGAGCCCCCGGGAGCCCGGCCCCAAGTGAGGCTCGGAAGGATCTTCCGAACCCTGCGCAGCCTATCTCCCTCTGCCACTCGGGACACACCCTTTCCACCCTCTGGGCCTCAGTTTCTCAGTGCGTCATTCTCGGAACAGACAGAACCAGATGCCTGCGAGGACCATGAACTTGAGGAGCGTGACTCGGCAATGTGGCCGACAGACTCCCTGCCCGCTGGGACCGCTCCTCACGGCCTGTCCTGACCACCCCTCTCATCTGTCTCGGCCGCCTGGAGGGCCAAGGGGACGAGACAGTTCTCCCCTCAGCCTTCCCTCCGGGACTGCTCCCAGTCCCCACCCGGGCCTTCCGGAAAGCTGCGGAGCAGCACACAAACCTCGGGGGTGGGAGCTAGCCCAGAAGAACGGGGTCAGCAGGGCCGACAAGCTCCATTTGCAATGGGAGGTGGGTGAGAAACAGATCGTCAGCGGCCCTGAGCTTTCAAAAAACGCACAACTCTGCTGGTTACTATGGCAACCACCGGCCCAGCGAGCCAGAATGGGGGAAGGTACCCAGGAGCCCCCAGAATTTAGGAGCAGAAAGGGGCCCAGGGTGGCCAGAGGCTACAGACTCTTGTCCCCTGGGGGTCAGGTACCCCTTCTCTGAAAAGAAGCTGAGACCGAGGGAGGATGAGAGTGCTTTATTGGGCACCCCGCATGGTGACCTAGCCCGAGGACAGCTAGCAGGCTCTGAAACAATAAATAAACCATCCTTTCCCTAAACAATAAATAAATATCCAAGAAATAAATATCTGCCAGGGACCGGAGGGGCCTTAAGTTATTGGGTCGGGGTTGGGGTGGGAGGCCGGTGGAGTCCTGCCTGGTTTAAGGCAAATGAGCTGGGGGCTGTCTCGTTGCCCAGACCCCAGTCCTCAGTTCCTGAAAGGTGAAGGGACGGGGCTGAGAAGTCATCCCATCAGGGCTGGGAGCTGACTGTTGAGCACCCCAAGGGTGGGGCTGGGTTTCCGGCTTGGGAGAGCAAGAGTAAGTCCCTCACAGCCCGAGCCAAGACAAGCTCCAAGGAGTGCAGCAACTGGTAGGTGTAGAGGAGCTGGGGCCAGGACAGCTGTGCTGACATGTGCGAGGGGCCACCCGGAGCCCGTTCGGGCAGCCCCTTCCTCTCCTCATTCTCCTCCTCAGGGAGGTTGAGTCCCGCAGCCAGCACCTGCGAGGAGACGCCCATGGGTCAGACAATGGCCAAGCTGAGACCCGGAGCACATCCTCGTTCTTTTATGTGCCCAGTGGTACGGAATGACATCAGAGACCACAAGGTCATGATTTCCCTGGATAGCCCCTACTTTATAGATCTTCCATTATGTCATCACCTCACGCACCCTGCCTGATTTTTTGGTTCAAGAAAATGGAAGTCACAGAGCAAGATGCTGCTCATGGAGGTGGCACACTCATCCAGGATTGCCCTGGGCATTTGGGACCCCAGAAGTTCTTCTCTTAAGGGTCATTTTAGGATCTGAGATGGACAGAAAGGTGGTATAGCTAGTTCTCATGCCGCTTGCGTTTTCTATTTTCCTTTTGTTAAGAGAAAAATGCCAGTTTCCCTTGGAAATGTTCAGGAGGGCCTGGTGATGTGAGAGGCTGAGGGAGAAGGGAACCAGCTTTGTTGCAGGGTCTGTTGATGCCAACAGCTGTTCCGGGTACTTCAGAGCTGTTCAGACCAAGACCCCAAGAGAAGGCAGAGATTCGGGGGACAGAGCCAGTCCCCCCACCTCCCTCCGACACACAGAGGGTCTGGAGCATCTCCCTCCAAAGTTACCCAACCCGTGGGCAGGGGGTGTTTGTAAAAGGGAGCCAATGAGCTTCAATTTTTTGTGTTGGTCTCTGGGAGTTGAGGAGGTGGGTGGACACTCTACCTGGAAGCGGAGATGCTGCTGCAAATCCCGGAGATCCAGCCTCATGGTCCACAGCTGCATCTTCTCTGAGCTGGTCCAGCCCCTCTGGCTTCCCAGGCCTCCCAAGAGGGCATGGAAGGGGCGAAGCATCATGGAGAGGAAGCAGAGTCGTTCTGAGTCCTGTGGGAGGGAGGGAATGGGTCAGGCAAGGCTCACAGGCTAAGGATCAAACCCCACCCCATGCTCACCATCCTATCACTCTCTGTCCACAGCCCCACTCTATCCCCTTCTTCACCAACCCTTTTTCCGTCCATTGCCTTGCTTGTGGTTTTATCCTGTCTCCAGCCTCCTTCCAACCCTAGTCCCACACCTAATCCCAACCCCATCCCTTCTCCATAGGTGCAGCCTCATTCTCACACCACTCCTTTATTCCAGCTGAATTTTTATATCCAATGACATACTCAGCCTCATCCAGATCCGATTCCTCCACTCTTCCCCAAATCCATTTTCCATTCAATCCCAACTTCATCTCCATCCACCCGGGCCAGCCTTTCTGCTAGCTCTCCTGCCCCACCCCTCTGGCCCCCAACTCACAGAGAGGCTGTGCCAGGCCTGGAAGGTCAGGGAGACGTTGGGGAGCTGATGTCCCAGGGGCAGGAGATCCAGGCTCACTCCTGGCAGGTGAGATTCAGCCTGTGGGGCAAGGTCTTGTTAGTGGGGACCAGAGGGAGTGGGGATTTGCCCATCCCCCAAACCAGTTGCATTAGGGTGACTCACAAAGCGGTGGGCCTGGGTCCGAACCTCGGAGAATAGCTTCCTGGCGAGCTGCAGGCTGACCTTGAACTCCCTCCGCAACTCCTGCAGGCTCAGGGGGGACCTCCCTGGCGGTCTCGGGAATCCCCAGACACCAGCTCGAGCCAGGAGCAAGGAGAGCAGCAAAAGGCTGAGCCCTGGAGTTGGGGGAGGGGGGAGTTGGTGGGCCAGATGAGGGGAAGGCTTGAGAAGAACTCACGTGCCTTTTCTAGCCTGCGCTATAGGCAAGCCCTGTGCCATCTCACTGACCCCGCACAACCACTAACAAGATGGAAGCTTTTGAGGATGCCATATGGCATCTCTGTATGAATGAAAAGAAGATACCCCTTCTCCAAGACAGACACAACCTTGCTTAGAGTACCTACCTTTGCAAGCAAATCTCAGGCTGGATTTGACCCCCACCAACTCCCTTGGCCAAGTGTCTTTTTCAGTGAACAAACCACTCAACCATATGTGGTAGCCTGGGTGCTATTATCCTGTGCATTTTGCAGTTGAGGAAAATGAGGCTCAGTGAAGTTGACTAGCCCAAGGCCAAATAGCTAGAGGGTGAGGGAACCAGCACTGGATTCCAGATCTGCCCAAATGCAGAGCCTGTGTGCTTCCCCCAGCGAACTTAGAGGAGGGAGCCACCTCCCACGGAGCGGGCACACTGTGTTCTGCTGAGGATTCCTTGGGCTTAGCCCGTCGGCTCTGATGGCCTGAACTAGAGCCCCAGGGGTGGGCAGGCGGTGCTGGAGGCTCTATCCCAGGGAGTCAGAAGGACAGGCTGGTCCAGCCACCACCAAGGAAGGTGGATCACTCTGCAGTGTTGGAAGAACAGGGGGTGCCAGGAAGAGGAGGAGAGCCCAGAATGGGAGGCAGAACCTCGGTTTCTCATTCAGGTTCTTCCCTTGAGCAAGTCATCTCTTATCTCTGTGCCTCAGGTTCCCATCTGTAAAATGGGGGAGTCAGACCAACTGATTTCTTTTCTTTCTTTCTTTTTTTAAAATTTATTCATTTGAGACAGAGAGATACAGAGAGAGCGAGAGCATGAGCAGGGGAGAGGCAGAGGGAGAGGGAGAAGCAGGCTCCCCGCCGAGCCAGGAGCCAGACATGGGGCTCAATCCCAGGACTCTGGGATCATGACCTGAGCCAAAGGCAGATGCTTAACCATCTGAGCTACGCAGGTGCCCCAGACCGATTTCTGAAACTACTTCCTGCCCTGTTTCCTGGACAGAAGAGAGAGAGGCCCTAGGGTGGGAGCTCTGGGAAGAGGGCAGTGTTTGCTGGTTTCTCCATCAGGGAGAGGAAATCTAGCAATCGCTGGAGTTACACAATTCTCGAAACACAAACCAAAACTAGGCTGTAAGTCTAAGTCTGTTCCTGCTCTCCCTCCTCTCCCTGCCGTTCTTGATCTCTAACCCCTGGGCTCTGCTCCTGAAATTGTCCTGTAAATAAAGACTAAGGGGAGCTTCTGTGTACTTCCATTCACCAATGTACTTCCAGAGGTGGGGGGCAGTGCCTGTGACCCCCCAGCATTCAGGCTTCCCTGGCTTGGGGACCACTCTGGCATCCCAGAGACTTTAGACGGTGTGGGGTTCCTCTTAGCTCTATTTTGAGGGAAAGTGCATGCCCCCAGGCTCTGATGGATATTGCCCACCCAGAATTGAGCTGAGCCATTTCCTACTGACCCTCTGCTTCCTGTCTGAGCTCTAGAGCCCCAGACCCTTCCCGTGGCTTCTCCCTACCCTCTGTACCCAATCCTGGGTCCTTGGCCCTGGCTCTGTCTCCATCCTCCAGCCCTTGGTCCTTACTCTGGCTCCTCTTCCTGTGGCTCTGGTTCCAGCCTCTGACTCTTTGAGTCACCAACTGCAGATTGGACCTCCTTCCAAGCTATAGACCCTTGATCCAGTTAGGCTGTTGACTCCTTGGCCCCAGCCCCACACTCCAGCCAACTCCTCCTGCTGTTCTTCCTCTACCAGCCCCAGTTCTCAGCCAAACTGTCTGGTCCCTGCTCATTCACCCCAACCAAACTCTTCATTTATCTGCCTGGTCCTGGTCCTGGTCAAACTGGCTGCCCACCTTTCTCTCCCTTCAGGCCAGTCAAGCCTTCCCGTCCTCTGCCCAGCCCTGGCCGAACCATCATCCCTCTGCCCCTGGCCCCCATTCATGCCAGACTCATTCCCATTCTCCTGTTGACTGTATCCTGTATCCTTAGTCTTGGCCAAATAGTTGCCCACTCAGCCCCTGGCCCCCATCCACACCCATCAAGGCCTCCCATCCCCTGCCCAGTCTCAGCCAAGCTTGCCACCCCTCTGCCCCCAGCCCTGGCCTCAGACTCACGCCAGCCAAGGTCGCCTGCCATCTGGCCCATAGCGGGGCCCAGCCTGTGTGGCCAGCCATCTCCCGGGCAGGGGTCTTATACTGGGGGCTGCGCCGGTTTCACTTTCCGTCCTGCTTGTACTTTCGGCTTTGCACTCAGTCTTCTCTCCTCACCACCCCTTGCTGAAATGGGGAAATGTCATTTCCCTTCCCAGAGGGGGCGGGAGGTGCAGTGGGGGGGTGACGGGAAGCTGGGGTTTCTGTCAATCCAAGCTCCGGACCCCCTGCTCAGCTTCCAGGACCAGCCCTCCCCTCACGTCCCCGCTCCTGGGTGAGCCACTGCTCTAGGGACTGGTAGGTCCCAGAGACTCAAACCCTCCTACTCCTCTGCTCTGTCATTATCATCCTAGTGCCATCACCAACTCAATGTCCTATAGAAGATGGATGGCCAGGTAAGGGGATTGCCCATCCCCTTGGGGGCTTGGGGTTTTGAGTCATCCTGCTCTTTTCTGGTTTACCAGATGGCTGAGGGAGGGAGTGCGAAGGAAGTAGGGAGCTCCTTGTGGAGCTCAGATGGGGCTTTGTGTGGAGCAGTGGGGTCCCAGTCTGGGCAGGGTCAGGGCTCAGCCTACAGCCAGGGTCAGGGTGGATGAGAACGGGTCCGTTCAGAGCCAAGAGCTCAGTCTTTGGCCAGAGTAAGATCTAAGATTAGAGCTCAGTCTATAACTAGGTTTAGGACTTGATCTAGAGGCGACTTGGTCTAGAGCTTTGTCTGTGCTTGGGGTGAGAGCTATCAGTGACCTGGAGGCCATGCTTGGGACCATTTGGGGTTAGGTTTCGAGTTCAGTCCAGATTGGGCACAGAGCTCGGGCTGTGGCTAAGGTTCCGACAGAGCCTGTGATTCAGGTCAGGGCTCAGGCTTGGGCTGTTGATGTCTAGGGTCAGGATTCACCAGGTTGGGGTTGTGTGAGGTCAGGATGGGGCTCGGTCAGGTCCTAGAATAATCCTGCTCTATGTGTTTCGCTATGTGGATGGCTGTCAGGGCTGGGCTGCATCAACCACAGGTCTCCCTTCCAGCACAGCTCCACCCTTAGCCCCACCCTGGATTTTCCATCTTCAGGGACAAGATGGGGGTTTCTTGGTCTTCCCCGAGGCCCACTTTCCTTTTAGGATCTGTGGGGTTTCCCTGCTGGGTCCCTGCAGTGAGACAGAAACCAAGGGGGTTTTCCCTTTCTATACTCCGCCTCTCAGCCCTACATAGGCCCTGCCGAGCAGGGCCGCCTGGAACCAACTGCCCGGGAAGTACCAGTACATTTGGGGGAGCAATCCCAGAGGGTTGCTTCGAGGAGAAGGAAAAGGAAGAGCGAGTGGCTGGCACCTACCTAGCCCAAACTGGTTTCCCTTGCAGTGTCCCCTAGTGGTGACAGCTCATTCTCCCACATCCCATGCCACTGAGGCTCCTCAGTGTGTGTGTGTGGAGGGGGGGGGGTCCCAAACATCCTGAGACTGATGGTGAGGACAGACACAGGCCCTGGCTGGTCTTCCTCACATCCCCAAGTCCTACCGTCCATCCTGGAGGCGAGCCACCCCACTCACCCTCTGACCACAACCACTCCCCATCCTTTGCCGTTGCCCAGAATTGCTGTGCCTCTCAAACCTTGAACTCCATCTCCCACTCTCTACCACAACCTCCCGACCCTCCAGACCTTCTCTTAGGGTTCCCCAAAACCTCCTGTCTCTTGTTGCTTCTCTGCCCTTCCCAATCTGGCTGCAACTGACACCTGCAGCCTCATTCCTGGTCCAGCAACTGGAGCTTCGTGCTTGAATACGATGAGCCACCTCATACCAGCCTGCCTTTCCACTAGCTCTTCTCTTTGCCTAGAAAGCCCCCACTGTCTTCTCTGGAGTCCCCTCTTCCCAGCCTGTTCTGAACCTACCCCTTGTCACGGGCTTCCTCCCCGGAATAGCTCATTCCTTCCTGCCATAAATCCTGTCTCCAGTGGACATTGCATATTTATTTATCTTGCTTAATTTATCCTCATTCATACCACTCCGGCCATACTGACTCCCTCATTGCTCCTAGAACATGCCAGGCATGCTCCTGCCTCAGGGCCTTTGTACTTGCTGTCCCTCCCTTCTGCCTGGAACACTCTTCTTCCAGATAACTGCAAAGCCCACTCTCTTCTTATGATCCCTACTTAAACGTCACCTTCTCAAATGGAGTCCTCACTGACCCGATTAAAAGATGCAACCCTGCCCCTGGCACTTTCTCTTTTCTATTTTCTAGAAAGAAATGTTGCAATTTCCAATTATAACTGTGGATATATTTTTTTTTCCTTTTAGATCTACCAATTTCTCTCATGTGTTTTGATGCTCTATTGTTTAGGTATAGACACAAATAGGATTGTTATGTCTTTTTGAAGAACTGACCCTTTTATCAGAATGTAACGTCTATCTTTTTTTTTTTTTAGTTGTATGTTTGGTGTTTATGTTCTAATGTCTTTCTTTATACTCGATAATGTTCCTTTTTTCCCCTGAAGTTTACTTTTTCTGAAATTAATTTGACAAGTCCTGACCTTTATGATTAGTGTTTACATGGTTTATCTTTTTTTTTACATACTTTCATTTTTAACCTGTTTTTAATTTGCAGTGGGTTTCATTAAAACAAAATTCCAGATTAATATTTTTGTCAGTTTATATGGCATTTATCAGTGTCTGCCATAAGTAAATAAGTATTCTATTTCCTAACTGAAGATATCTGTCCTACTCTTTTTTGTAAGATTTTATTCAATTATTAATTAACTAATTAATGAGAGAGAGAGAGAGTGAGCATAAGCAGGGGGAGCGGCAGGCAGAGGGAAAAGCAGGCTCCCCGCTAAGCAGGGAGCCCGAGGCGGGACTCGATCCCAGGACCCCAGGATCATGACCTGAGCTGAAGGCAGACGCTTAACGACTGAGCCACCCAGGCGCCCCTACCTGTTCTATTCTGAATGTGAGATTAGTTGTTTGGCTTGTGACCTCAGTTCCTTGATGAGTTCAAGAAAGATCATTAGTTTGTAGTTTGTCTTACTTTGTTTCTGGTTGTAAAGGGCAAGTGGTGCCTTTTCCAGATTTTATACCTTTAAAAAATGTACATTGGGCACCTGGGTGGCTCAGTTGGTTAAGCGACTGCCTTTGGCTCAGGTCATGATCCTGGAGTCCCGGGATCGAGTCCCACATTGGGCTCCCTGCTCAGCAGGGAGTCTGCTTCTCCCTCTGAACCTCTTCCCTCTCGTGCTCTCTATCTCTCATTCTCTCTCTCAAATAAATAAATAAAATCTTTTAAAAAAATAAAAAAATAAAAAATGCACATTATTTGTGTCACTCTGTTCTTCTAGCTGGGTACTTTAGCACCACATTAATTAGATGTGATAGCGAACATCTTTATTTTTTTCTTCATTTCAGCGAGTAAGCTTTAAATTGTTCATTATAAGGTATTTTTTCTTATCTTTTTGTAGATTCCTTTCATTAGATTCCAGAAATCCCATGTAATTCATAGTTTGTGGACATTATCTTTAATAAATATTCACTTCATTTATATTATTTGCCTGTATCTATTAAGACCCCCTGGCACTTTTTAAAAAATATTATATATATTTATTTGACAGAGAGAGAGAAAGAGAAAGCAAACACAAGGGGGGGGCAGCAGGCAGAGGGAGAGGGAGAAGCAGACTCCCCGCTGAGCAGGGAGCCTGACTTGGGGTTCCATCCCAGGACACTGGGATCATGACCTGAGCCGAAGGCCTACACTTAGCCGACTGAGCCACCCAGGGACCCCTCCACACACACTTTCTATCCCTTTCCCTGCATTATTTTTTTACATAACATTTAAAAACATCTAACATTTTCTCTCTCCCTTTTCTTGGTCTGTCTCCACGCTCTGGAGTATGAGTTCCACAAGGGTGGGCATTTGTGCCCGTTCTGTGTGCTGATATATCCCCAATAGCTAACAACAGCAGGTTCTTCGGAAATCAGCGAACCAATCCGTCTTCTGCCGCAAGTGCCTAACGCGGGCTCTGCTCCCGGCCCGTGCTCCGAAAGTTGCCAGATAGAGCAGCAGGTCTGGGACCAGCTGCTGAGCCCTGAGCCCTGAGCTCTCACTGTCAGCCTTCTCCCGCTCTGGCCAATGCTCCAGACAGGTACTGAGGATGTAAAGCGGGAAGCTGGGCTGCTGGGCTGCTGGGCATGGTCCTCGGCCAGGATGATCTTAGCAGATCCTTGCCAAGAAGCCAGAGAGCCAAGGAGGGCGGGGGCAGCCTCTGTCCCTGTCCTTGGAGGATGGGCCTGGGCCCGTGTCTGTCTACCTGGGCCTCAGTTTCTACAGGCAGATCTTGGCTGGTGAGCCGAGGCTTGGGCTGGGATCCCAGCAGGAAATGGAAGGGATGTGGTGAAGGCTGAGGACTGCTGGAAAGGAAGCCAAGAACACTGAGCTCTGGACTCCAGTATGTAGCTAACACTTCTGGTGACCTCAGGTGAGTCACCAGCCTGCTCTGGACCTCGGGTTCCTCATTTAAAAGTAGTAGCAGTTTTCAAATGCTTCCACTGCTATTACGTAGGGAAATTAAAACCTAGATGATTAAAAAAAGAGGGAAAAGAACCATCCACCAATTTTCTGATTATTTTCCAAGTACCCTGTTATAGCTCAGACCCCCTGGGGCACTCCACCGGATTGCATGGGAATCCTGAGCCCAGGAAGTAGAAGTTAGAAGCTTCAGATGTGACATCAGGATGGAATCAGGGAGGGGAAGTCTTCTTCAGGGTTACGCAGCAGATCAGTGACAGAACGAAGACTGGAACTCAAGTCCCCCGTTTTCAGCTTGGGCTGGTGAGGGGAATCCCTGGGCCCTATGATGTCAGCTCCGAGGCTTGGAACTAAGCCCTCTGTTAAACCAAGATGGCCTTCGGTGGAGGCAGGAAGGCTGGGGGAGGTGAGGCCAGGCTGGAGCTGGGGGCCCCACCTCTGAGTCTCCCAAACACGGGTGGTGAGACCCTGAGCCCCGAGGCACAGTCTCCACTCTTCTCTCCCTGAGAGGAGGTGGGAAGCCCAGAGCCGTAGCCCTCATCCCGGGCTTCTCCCCTGTTGTGCGCATGCACCCCACCCCACCCCCACCCCCGGGTCTACAGGATTTATTCTGCAGCATGCACTCACCACGCCCC